GTTAAACCACTGCACAGAACTCAAAATATAGACTATGAGGGCGCTTTTGGAATCAACAATTCCCGATTCCCGAATTGTTAGGTCAACAAACCGGAAGTTAGGACAGATTTCGAATGTTCAAAACGCTTAGGGTCGCAGTATACCTCATCCGTGTTTCAAACAGAAAACGTAAAAAACCGCAAATAAAAAAGAAAACGCCACCATTATTCAATTACTAGTAACTCGTATCAGCCGCTGATATGAAAATTTGCTTATTCTTCTTTCTAAGCAAGAAAAACAAACATGCAAATTATTATTGGCTATAGCGTAATATTTTCATATTGGGGGGGTATATGGGAGTTATGTGGTCATATGGTCATATTTACTCAGTGAAACACATATGTACCACCTCCTTCATTTTCTCTGAAAAAAAATCATCTTTTTCTCCTGGTAACCCACATTTCTCAGCTGTTTTATTTGTTATTTATATGTCTGTCATACTCTGTCCGTTGCCCGGTAGCTTACGCATGCACACATAGAATGACATCGCGTATGTCGGCTAATTCGGGAATTGCCTACATTTTGCTAAAACGCCCGAAAATCTATAATCGCGGGTTACTATTACATAATTAATGTACCCTTGTGTTACACCAATGCCCTTACTGATGCATTATGGACCAGAACACGTAATTTTCAATATTGTTGTTCGAAACTGTAGGTTGAAAGAGACTGATATTTCCGGGAGCGAGAACGGGCATTTTTCGCCGTTTGGTAACCACAAACGATGAAAATAACAGTCGAAAACTCGCAGGAAACTGTACTTTGGGCAGGTTGTTAAAACTCTCCTGAACAGTGTAATAAGGTACATGTGCAATTTATATAAATATAACTGTGACTTTAACTGTTTTCACCAGCTCTTGCAGCTCGTGCAGAGCCATAGAGATACATGGTACAATGGTGTGCGACTTGGCAACATAGAGCGTTCTGTGACATAGCTCCAACCTCGATCAACTACAATCACTGTTATTCGACTTGTAGCTCACAACTAACTTAGTATTCGTTTGATGAAACAGTGGCAGTTTCTGACACGCTTGCGCACTGATTGTTCCAGTGCGTATAATAACACTAATTGCGCATGCGTATTATTGTTTTTCCGTAGAAGCCTACCAAAAGCAACTTACCTTTTTAGCTTGCGGTATATCATAATCCAATGTGGTATTTAACATGCAGTATCAAAAAAAAATATTGGAAGATAAAAATTTTCGTTCAGTAATTTGGTACTGCAAGCCATTTTGAGTCATCGTGGCAACTAGGCCACTGAGGAGAATGACATTACCCTATGATTCAATAAGTTGTCAGCTAGATGGAATGGGGACGACAGTGGTAATGATGGCGGTGAATTGGCATCTGAACTTCTACCCGTCAAATTTATATAAATGTTTTTGGCTGTATATACGGAAGCACTTTTAACAGTAATACATTTGTAACTGGAATCAAAAATTGAAATATTTTGCCAGGGCATAGAATGCAACAATATCGATACAATTTCATCTCATTAATTTTGGAAAAACTATTAAATTCACCAAAATGGTGTGTAGCGCCTCCATCACTAGTTGGCATGGTAACACCACGGTTGCCCTGGGAGACCAAAGGTCGCTACGGAAGACTGATACGTATCCGGTAATGTCTCTGTGTACATCGTCATATCAAAATAAACTAACTCGGGGCTTGATTAGAACCAGCGTCGCTGAGAGATTATACACGAATAAACAGTTTATACAAACAATTCTTACAAAGCGCTTATAAATGGCTAAAAAACTAGTCACGTGGTCATCGTACTGGAATTAGATCAGAGACAAAGCGATCCCTAGGAAAAGTAACAGGAGAAGCCGTCTGCAAAGTAAATCGCTTGTACACCGTTTTGACGTCACTATAAATTTTCCATGACCTCTACGCAACCGTTCCCACATATAGTATTCCATTGATATACAATATAGAGGGGTGGCATAGTGTATGTACTTTCCAGCTGTTTCTGCTTATCGCATTCGCTCTCCAGCTGACTTTTGGTGTTACTCATTTCCCCAGTCAACGAACGACCTATTACTACAACTACTACTTGCTGCTGATGTTGCTCTGGTCGGGGTGTTTACGTATATTGGGATAAAGTTGCTTACTTCGTGGGGACAGTTCTTTAACAGATCACGCTGTCTATTTCGTTTGAAAGTCAACGATCTGAAAACATGTGGAAACGTTTTTCCTGTGCAGGTAAGTAGTAAAAATGCGCGCGTAGGACAATGTTTACAGTGCGCATACTGATTTCATCCATCATGGTAAATACATTTTTTTTCTCTTAGTCGCCATGACGGTATAAACGTAATTTCAGCACACATGTTTAGCGTAAAGGGGATCCTAATATTTAGTTGTTTCCAGTCGCTAATATAAACACTGTTTGATGAACTTATCATGGGGAATATCACAAATCTATGATGGGTTTTGAGCTGAGTGGCATGCAATCGCTCTCTGGTTACAAAGGATGGAGATGGGCCCAAGTTATACGATGCCGGAAAGAGCCTGACGGATATTTAGTTGTAATTGTCAGATGGGGAAGGACATTGACCTATTCTAACAGATTTTATCTTCTTTTTTTTTGAAAACCGGAGACTGGCTTGAAAAAACTCGTGAATTTGGAAGATAGAGCGTAAATAACCTATGACGTTTTTGTGTTTATTTCTTTGTTTTTAAGTCATTCGAACTGGTCAATTATAACACGATCGCATGACGAGGTGGAGCTTCGCGTAACTTAACACTTTTTTCCACCCTTTGAATGTTGCTACTATATATTATAAATGTCCCACACCCTATATCAAAGTAGTACCCTTAGTCCTATTGGATAGGGGTTCATGGACGGCAGTGTTGGGTCAGTTGTCGTTACTAAAAGTTTACGTGCGATGATCAGTTAGCCAACTCGACAGGTCTCGTTACTGTTTTATGGTTTGCTTCACGTGTGACTATACATCGCTATCGATCTTGTATATCATCTGCTTGCTACATCGCTACATCACATCTAATCGTGTAACACACTTACTCTTGATCGTGTTCCTCTTTTTATTTAATTCGTGTCATTAGAGGACAGCGGCTCCGTGTCTTTCATCGTCGTTAATTTTATAGATGACTTTGACAAAGAGGAGTTGTCTTCGAACGTCGCCCATCATTGGATTTTTTTTCAAATCAGCCAATCAGATACGTTAGTTGTCAGTGCCCTTGGTGTTGGGTCTGATCACCATCTACCGAAACAATATTCAAAAATAGTTCTAGTAGCATTGCTGCGGGTTTTCACGTGAAATAAAAACACACACCGTTCGAAGATTCTGCTCAGTTCAACAGTAGATCTTCAACAAACTCGGTCGTGCGTTCATAAGTGAATGTCGAATCGGTCGGGAAACGAAGAAAATAGAAGCCATATTGTTTAGGCGTATAACGAGGATCCCCTGGGAGTTTATCGATGTTGTTGTGATCCGACATCCAGATATCGTTCAGTCAATAAGCTACTAGTGTTGCACGTCTTGGATGCCCCGGCCATATGCACTATAGTCATAGTACATCGTTATGAACAAACTAAAATAAACTTTATTATAATAATAAATTATTACTTTACTTTTTACTGACAGTCTAGTATCATAAATGTAACATTTTTATGCAAAGACCTGTTTGTGTTGATGTATCATGGGTATTGTTGATTTCGTCATACAAAAAAAAAAAACACGTAAAATAAGAAGGGCATTTTAATTTTTGCAATTTTGACTGGTTAGTAACAGCACAGGAAATAGTCATCATATGTTTTTCGTTGAAATGGTCATGGCTAGTGTGCCACTCACTGTAACGGAGCGGAAGCCGTTGTTTATACTATGTCTCTGTGGGAGTATGCTTAAACAATTTCCAGGCTCATTTTTCCACGAGTTCCTCCCCCAAACAGCACGAAATCAATTGCAGTTGCTAGTATTTAAGATTTATCGTACGTTAGTAAAACTGTCCACAAGGAAAGTTTCTGCTGATAAGTACGGGGAATAGGCTCGGTGGAACCAGGTCTGCGCATGTTCAGTATTTCCGCGAAGCTTTTCCCGCCACGTGCAGTCTTACAACACGACAAGATGTTTTCAACATAGCGAGCCCAGTAGGCTGTACGATTTCCAAATGCCTTTTAATTAAAATGTAATTTGATGTAAATTAAAAGCATGCGTAAACCACAGATAAAGCAAAATATTACATAACTATGATGATGCAAAATTGACAGAAGGAACGATGCATGCATTCCATAGCAAATCCAATGAAATAGTCCATGATGACCCGCGCGCAGGAGTTTTAATAAATTCAATACCACAACACGTCCGTGTACTTTTACTCAAATGCATAAATTAAAAGACAATCGTGATTCCCGGGGTGGAAGTATTCATCTTGCCATAAAGTTTTTTTTCTTGTTGCCTATAAAAAACATGCGGGTCTTAATGCAGTGACGTCACAGAGGTCAAGATGGAGGTCGCGCCCTCCAAAACACTGATTCATTGAGTGTCTCCTGTCGTACTATCAGAAGTAAATTCTTGTTTACGCTGTCAGTCGTGGATTTCACGTCATGAAAATAAACATACTCTTTCAGATGAGAAGTTGTAAACCTGGGTAGCCATGAATCACTCCCTCTAAGATCGTGGCTAAGATACAGTGAAAATACAGCTTTGTTTGACCATGGAGATCCATGGGTTGACCATGGTGTTACTCGTCTGATAGGTAGAATTGTGCAATGACATTGGCCGACGTGTATCGCAATACCATCAACTTCAACTTCGGACCCCGGGGCTACCTTGGCGTTGAACAGTGAAATTGATCACTAATAATTAATTCGCATAAAGGGTTCCTTATTTGGAAACGTGGGGGGGGGGAGCTTTGAGGATTTTGATGATGAGCCAAATACAATGTACAAATGAATGCATAATGACGACAGTACGAATAACATCTTGCCATCATACAGATACGAATGTTTTCCCTCCCACCTGTGTTCACATAATTCTAAGTTATAAGAACATTTTTCTTGATATTTAGATCATAATTTAACAATTGTTCCACTGATGTTTCAGTTCCAAATGAATTAACCCGATTTGTTTTTATGGAGACAAGGATTTCAATTCCTCCTAGTAGTGATATGCTGTCCACTTTAAATTGTGTGAAAAAGTTTGTAAAACTCCGATCTTTAAAAATGCGCTAGTTTCAGATTTATGTCAGGCTGATTACCCCTAAACACATGACACGTTTCAGAGTTACTTACTATGTTTCCATGCCATTGTTCGGCATATTTTTCGTCGGAGCCATGTACATGTACCCCCTTTCGACTACAACGGTCACGTATTTACGAGATTTACTACGAAAGCACGTTCGAAGCAGAGAGAACAAACATACATCTAATAATGCCTCCAGCTTAGAAACTTCACTGAGATTTCTCGAAACATTTTGATTTGATCCATTCACTCTAACATATATGCAATTAGCCCCCCTGATAACTTTCTGCGATTTGCCCATAACAATGTTTTGCTGTTTTCTGCGTATTTTGATCTTAGTGATTTGTTTATGTAGGTGGGCGCTGTGTTTTACCAGATGTGGGGTTGTACTACATAACCCCCGCGGTCATGTTATCTTACAGCGATCGAGACCTGTACCAAACATACATTGGTTGTCTATAGGTACAGGATATCCACCGTCACCATTTCCGACAGTTTCAATACGCTATCAACTTCAAGTAACGTAATTAGCCATTGTTGAGTTTCTGGTGAACATGATATGACTCTGTCAGATTACGTGAACTGCTAGCAGGCTCGTTCACAATTGATTCATGTCGCCCGCCGCACTGGCACGATCAAAGCTCGCTCGTTCAAGTTCCTAGTCAGAGCTCGTACATACTGAAAAAAAAATCTACCAAGCAACTACAACATCTTCAAGATCTCGCCTAGCAGTGGCGTGATACATAGATTTGACGGACTATTTTTTGTGATTGTTGCGAACAAAACTGAATAAAATGATAGACTGTATGACGTACTCAGGCACAAATATAACATGACAAAAATCATAATAATGTAGATGTTTTATTTACGACATTATACTTAATACGAGACCTCCCAGATATTTCCATAGTTTATGTCAATGTGTTGACAAATCCCGTTCTTATGCCATTGTACGATCTGCATAACCAAGCAACCAAGAGTCCCGTGAAAAATCCAGGCACCTATCACAAATTGTAATTTATTTATAACCGTATTTTCCACCAACCACGAAGCTGTCAACAATTTCTGTATTGGGCATGATTCGGGCCTTGTTTGTTGCCATTATTATTGCGGCGATCGTATAACGTCTAGATGTACCGTGTATAAGGTGATTACACCAGAGTCAACTCTTAGCAAACACGCGTCTATAATTTGCATATTACTGGACCCCATTAAAAAATATGGTAGTCGATTTCGTGCTAAGGATGCGCGCTGACTCTAATCCCCCATCTCAGCGGGCACCGGCCCAGCATATAATAGGACGTGCAGCAACTAATTTAACGTAACCTCTAACCCCCGGAGTTCGCTGACAACATCTGGTATTGCCGTGCATGTTTGCTATCAAAAGGTCACCTCTTTTTTTTAACCAGCCAGGCCGTCGAGGGTTTTAAAAAATGCTTTAAAACTGTTCAGTGCAGAAACTAATAAAAATCCTCAATGGTAGGTCCCGCTAATTTCGGCGCAGAGAGGTCCCCCTGATTAGACAGGGAATGCCAAGTCGCCAATATGTCGTAGTACGCATGCCAACGGGGAAGACATGCAAACTGCTGTGCAACGTAAATCCGATGATAATTAGCATAGTGTTTTTTTCATAACTTTTGGATTTCGTCAATATAGGGGGGTGGTGTGAAAACAAACATGATTTCACATGAGCCATTCCTATTTACGTTGTGTATTATATCGCTTGCTATGACTCCGCATGAAACGAGCAACGACACGAACGCGATAATAAGCCACATTTCACTCTAAAATCGAAAAAAAACTATAATTGACAGTCTTGTTGACAGATACCAATTAAATTACAAAAGTATAAAAAAAAGGAGGAGTAGAACGAAAAGATTTGTTGGATTATTTATGAGTATGGCTAAGTACTTTGATTTAACTACCTTAGTAAAAATTCAAATAATATGGAATTACCTAATAATAATTACACAACATATCGCACATTCTTAGTTATTCCAATTTCTACCACCCTGGATGCCGCCGGCTTCGGGCAACGTACAGCTTCAGATCACCGCCAACCTCCACCCGAAAGCTCACCTCCAGGGAGAAGACATTCGACCGTACACGGCGTATCGCAGCAAACATCGTCGCGTATCTGGGAACAAATGAACATATCGCTACATGCAATAATATTGTAGCAACTCGTCGGATATAGTGGTTAAAGTTGTCAATCCCTGGGATGGCACTGTGGCTCATTACTTTTTTTAACATTTCATTTTAATAAAACTTATCTAATTAACTTTAAGTGTTGTAAATTTATTCAACACACTGGGTCGTAATTTGGGATGAACTAAGAACGTACTTTTGCAGAAACTCGACAAACTCGTATATAATATATAGTGCGTACTATTAGTTAAATGCGCATGCACAAATTCCTTTGTCTTTAATTGAATACATCTAACATACCACGAACAATCAGAATCCAGAACTTATTGTCTCTCTCCCTCGGCTTATAAAATGTTATTGACATTATCATTACCCCGGCAAAGTTTAGCTTTGCTCATCTCGCTGTCCCCTCCATAGCAAAAACAATAGTGGAACCCCGACACGAGCCATGGAGTAGTCTTGCCGAACCTATTACTCTAGAAACACTCTTTGTGTGGATTAGTAGTTGACAATGCAATCATGTGCCGGGTATCGGATTAGTCTATAACATCAGTCAACTGCCCCAGGTCAATCATAACAGATGGATGGACGAGTTTTCATCGTTGACCCGAACCCAGCACGATTGCTCATTGCAATGTATTAATTTGCGTTTCTCCAGTAAATAGGCTTCATATATTAAAATTAATAGTGAAGTTATTTATTGTGAAAAAAATATCGTACCCTGGATTTCAAATTACCGTGCAGATTGTGAAGACTAATATCAATGAGTTTTTACAATATAGTCGATGCACTTTTCAATTTTATACAGCGCAATTGAACTGAACTTAACCGTAGATGCAAATGATGGAGAATTCGAGAAAAAAAAACTTTTGTATGTTGCTATGGTTGATTAAAAACGCGGCCGACGGTGTAATGGTACATGTACTTAGATGTTGAATGCGATGTAATGGCCGAGTTTGCTGCATTGCTCTCCTTAAAGCGGCGCCAGGAGTTGAACCAATTTATGCGTCTGAATACAGACGCATTGCAGTGCATCAAGTCAACAGTGGGTAACTGTTTTACGAGTTAAGGCTTCATATACACTTGTTTAGTAAATTTGGTGTATCAAATATCAGTGATGTTAGCCTTGATATGATCGCTCAAGAAATGGTTTAAACACATGTTACATCTATTCGCCTTCTAGTTAGGGGATTATTTCATTCATTCATTCATTCATTCCTTCTTTTCTTCGTTCATTCACATGATACGTTCAACCATCCAACTCTCAATTGATTTCATATTCACGGGCAATTCAACACAGGGTGTGTGTTTCGTCTTTCAGTTCCGTCATGCTCGGAGTGTTCTGCGATATTAAGTTAATGCTTGTTTGGAGAAGACCTGCCAGCGTTTTGACCCTGAGTATTCTCAGGACGACGCTGCTCAACCATAATGTACCACTGAAGGTCATTTGCCCCAGACTATCAACCTTATAGCGCCTGTTCACACAAATTCATCCACGGAAACCGGGGGAAATACAGTGGTTTATTAAAACCAATGGTGTGTGACAAGGAGCCCGAGAATGCAACAAAAACATGAATTCGCATGCTCGAATTAATATTATAAACAGAATATCTCAACGGACGAGTTTAATACGAGCTTGTAACATATTTACGTTTGTGCATCAACTATTTCTAGCTTCTGCTCCTAGGCAGTCAATATCCCCGAGAGCCGTTAAGTTAATTCAATTATTACACCGTTGACTTCTACCAATCTGTGCGATCGTCTCAAATTTCTGTTTGTTAATTTATTTTATGTTGTTCTAATGCTGAGTTTATTTTCTTATTTCAATGTTTCTTATAAATGTTACTGTAACCCTGTAAATAGATTGCCCTTGTCCAAGATTATCGTTCATTTTTTTTTATTCTGGCTGGGGTGTTTTATCTCATAAAGGTACAGGCCATGTAAACTGGTATTAGGTATATATGAGGGTATTTGGGGTATATATGATGACACTGATGCATATTAAGCACTCAGAGGGTATTTATGAGGGTATTCGGGGTATATATAAGAGTATTTGTGGTGTCTATGAGGGTATTTGTGGTGTCTATGAGGGTATTTGTGGTGTATATGAGAGTATTTGTGGTGTCTATGAGGGTATTTGTGGTGTATATGAGGGTATTTGTGGTGTATATGAGGGTATTTGTGGTGTATATGAGGGTATTTGTG